GGAAGCGGCTGACATTGCAGAGTGGAAAGACAGTTTGAACGAAGCCTGGGCTGATCTCTTGGAACTGATAGATACTCGCACACAGCTCCTGACTGCATCTTACGAGCTCCACAAATACTTCTACGATGGCAAAGAGCTTCTGAGCCTGATTCAGGAAAAGCACAAGGAGTTGCCAGAGGACCTGGGCCGTGACGCAAATACAGCAGAGTCTTTCCACAGAATGCACAATGCATTTGAACGTGATATTCATTCCCTTGGCATACAGGTACTGTACAAAGTCACTTAATGTGTATTGGAAATGGAGACTTGACAACAGGCAAATAATAATGTAACTGCAACAGATGCAATTCCACCAGTTGCTCCAAGATGCAGGGCATGTGTAAATTGGAGCATTTGATGCATGTTAGCTGTGACAGGATTGGAAGGAAGAAGTCACTTTGGACCTATGGTTCCCAAGGGTTATTGGAATCTGAGGGTTGGTTCAACTCATGTCTACTTCTCTTGTAGACTGATTGATAGCGATTGATTGCTGTGATTTGTCAATAGCTGCTTATTGATGAATCCTTTAACTACCAGGAAGCCCAATGTGATAGAATTCAGGAAGTGCTAAAATGAGAGAAGACTATGTTATGCGTTGTGACATCTTGTACAGCAGGGAGTGGAAAATGACATGGTTATAGCTGCGAGCCTTCCATCATAAAATGTAACTATTGAGTTAATATTTTTCAGTTGAAGCCATTTGTTTTATTGTGACTATTCACATGGTAGAATATTATTCTTTCCTGGTAACCTCTTAAAATGTTCAGTTTTTCTTTTAATTCATTCCTAGACTTCATTCATTTGTAATTTATAAACTGGTTGAAGATCTGCAAAATAAGCAGTGCCCTGTTGTGAATCATGTGGCACCTCATTAACATTTCAAATTCCTCACTCAGTGAACTTTCAATTACGTATAATAGTCGTGAGTATTGTTTAACGTGAGAGGAAACCCCACAGCACCTGGCCAGAATTTTGCCATTTCCAGTGGGACACTTAATTACAGATAGAAGATGCAGGGTGAACCACATGTAAAGTCACAACACATCCTTGTTTGTCCTTGATGGATAAGGAAATGGATCTTCTCATTAACAGGTTCAGCAGTTTCAGGATGATGCAGGCCATTTGCACACGGCGTATGCAGGGGATAAAGCTGCTGCCATCCAGAAACAGGAGCAGAAGGTGGTGGAGGCCTGGAAGGCACTTCTGGATGCTTGTGATGGTCGCCGTACCCAGTTAGTTGACACTGCGGAGAAGTTCCGTTTCTTCAGTATGGTCCGAGATTTGATGTCCTGGATGGAAAGCATTATTAGACAGGTGGAAACAGAAGAGAAGCCAAGGTAATTTATGATTTGTTTTCATTCTTTTGAGAGATACGAGTGTCCTGAGCAACTCACCCCCCAACCATGTTTTGCTTGCATCCTCGTGACAAGCCTTTGTCTTGAGCTTTTGCCGTCCCTGCACTGTTAGTGCTGTTAGGTAGAGAATTCCACTGTTTTGATAATGTGACTGATAAATTTCCAAGTGGGGATGTTGTGTGTATCAAAGGGCAACTTGGAGGTAGTTCTTCCAGTCCTGAAGACAGGTTGATTGCTCCTTTCCTCCAGATGCTGCCTGGCCTGCTGTGTTCTTCCAGCCTCCTGCTTGTTTACCTTGGATTCCAGCATCTGCAGCTTTTTTTTGTCTCTAACTTGGAGGTAGTGGTATCCCCATGTATCTACTGCCTTGTACACTTCAAAGAGGTGGAGATTCATAGAATTCCTACAGTGTGGAAGCAGGCCATTTGGCCCACTAAGTCCACACCAACTCTCTGAAGAGCATCCCACCTACCCTCAACCCTATCCCTGCAACCCTGCATTTCCCATGGCTAATCCACCTAATCATCACGTCCCCAGACATTATGGGCAATTTATCGTGGCCGATCCACCTAACCTGCACATCTTTGGACTGTGGGAGGAAACCGGAGCACCCGGAGGAAACCCACGCAGACACAGGGAGAGTGTGCGAACTCCACACAGACCGTCCTCCGAGGGTGGAATTGAACCCGGATCCCTGGTGCTGTGAGGTAGCAGTGCTAACCACTGAGTCACTGTGCCACTCTATGTTGTGGGCTTGCCTTTTCACAGTCGAAAGCAATGTTGTTTGTACTTCCAGAAAGCAATATAGCTGCAAAGCACACAGTCACTGTTAGAAATCATAACACTGACTTTTCTGTCAACTGCAGCTCCTTGTGCCTGTATAAATTTTTGACTCAAGTTTAATGTAAGTCATTTGTAGCATGTTCATAAGGAGGAAAGATTTGTCATCTTCCTTTAATTCTCTTAAATTGGCAAGTGCATTGAAACAATTGTTTGCTGGACTCCATTTCTTTCCCTCCATGATGTCTCTTGCTACCAGTACATGAAACTGAAATAATCTAAAGGCTGGTACCTGATTAAGACTACCTGAGAACTCTTTTTGCAAGATGAGAAGTGTTTGCGTTCATCCAAAATTACCCTGGACTAAGGATGTGTGTCTCCTCGAAGGCATAGAGAAAATATGAGGCCATGAATAAATCTACAGGGCCTTCGTAGCTTTGTGTACTAGTGGCAAGAGACATTATGGAGGGAAAGAAATGAAGTCCAGCAAACAATTGCTTCATTGCACTTGCCAATTTAAGAGAATTGAAGGAAGATAAAAAATCCTACTAACTTACGACCAAGACTTTTGACTCAGTCAGTCAGTAAGTGCAATGGAAGACCCTGTCAAAGGCAAGCTATCCAGAGAAATTTATCAGCATCCTCCATTTCCTCAATGGTAAGATGTGAGTGGCAGTCCTCACCGATGTTAATATGACAGAATCCTTTGAGGTCAAGGCGGGGGTGTGACATCGCCTGGACCCTTTCGTTCCACAACCATCCTTCATCATCTCAAAAACAAGCTTCCCAGTGGTGTGGGCATTGTTTTACAGGATGGACAGAGAACTTTTCAACTTCAACCTGTTGAAATAGACTGGAGATTGGTTCAAAGAAATGTCCACATCATTCAATTCCTCATCGACAAGAAAAGGAAAGCCCTCCACACCCGGAAAAACGATATCACTGGCAAAGCGAAGAGGAGAAATCCTCGGACAGCGAAGGTGGAGTTACAGAGAAGAACTACTACTACGGAAATCAAGAATCAATGATGGATTGAGGAAGCTAAGGAGCTGCAACTCCGTATGGACAAGCATGACAACAAGGCTTCTTCAGTGTTACCATCGCAATGTACAAACCCAACACCTTGGCCTCAAACCGAAGCAAGGTAAGGAAAGAACCCTTTTGAGAGGTAGAGAAAATATCAGCCATCGATGGAGCGAATACTTCAAAGAACTCCTAAACTGCAATACAGTCGGCGATGAGGATGTGCCTGAAGAAATGCATCAATTCTCCATCACATAGAGATGATCTTGGAGTCATGGGGAGCCACCTTTCATTGAAAGGTTGACATCTACAGACTTAACACAGCATCCGATGCCTAAGGATGCCTAAGGATGCAGGTTTGTGACAACTACAATGTCCCTGCTGATTCTGAGGTCATTGTGTGTAAGTAGTAATCCCTCCAGCTCTTCTAGATGGCTCAGAAACCTGAGACTACATATGGGCACCATTTCAGGGGCTTTAGGGATTCCCATCGCTGCTGGTGGAGATGATTTCTCTGGATCAGAGGGGGGGACAGGTGTACTGCCTTCAGCGACCCTGAAGGAGCCAAAAACATTGAGGTCATGATCATCGAAAACCAACTCCTTTGGACCAGCCACCTGCTTAGGATGTCTAGGTTCCGACTGCCAAAGCAAATCTTCTTTGCCCGGCTTAAGGAAGGCACCTGAATGTGAGGATGACAAAGGAAACCCTTCAAAGATTCCCTGAAGGTTCCCTCAACAAATACAGAGATGTTAATGCCTGGGAGACCCTCACTCAGAAGGAACTGATTTGGAGGAATCTGTTGTCTGAAGGGACACAATTCTTCAAAAAACAGCCACTGGCAAGAGGGTGAACTGAAAAGGGACCGGAGAAAGGAATGCCAGCGATCTCGAAATCAAGGACCATTTCCATCTTCCAAGTGGAAATATCTGGCAAGTGTGAGGTCAGAAATGTGGTTCTAGAATTTGGCTCATCGGCTACGCCAGGACCCACAAAACCAACAAACTCTGACACGGAGCCTCCTTGGTGGACAATCACCCCTGTTAATGAGTGATTGCCAATGAATAGGCTAGACCTGCGTATTCTCCCGCCTCAGGGATGGGACGTCCTGCTTCAGAGCACTGCTGGCCATTTGGATGGCTGGCAGCAATATGCTTGCAGCAATGCCTGGTAAAAGTGGCTTGGGGAGAGGTGGGGTGGGGGCATGTTATTGCTTGGAATACTGACCATCCCCAGTGGACGTCGTTGCTAGAGCTGGGCACCAAGGTAAAAGGTAGGAGGCGTGGTGGGAGAGAAGTTAGTGCCAGTCAGGTTGGCAAAACCCAGCAGGAGTGATTGAGTGGGTGGTGAAGGTGACGAGGGAAAATGGGCAACTGTTGGATGGGGCAAGGGGTGGAAAATAGTATTGAATGAGCATAGAGGGCCTGCAAAGAATTTCCCATTTGCATGCCTGACACCAACCCTGAAGGTACTGGGATTTTTTTACATGGCATATGCCTCCTCATTGCAGGGAAACTAGTGGTAAATGCGGCTCTTTAAGTGATCACTTTATGGTCTCAGTAGCTCCCAGCATGGAAAAACCACCTGATTCCCTCAATGCCCCTCTCAAATTTCATGCTGGCCTGAGACAGAGAGAAAGTAGCTGCTGGAAGGTTACCTTCCTATCCCTGTTAGATGCCTCCTAACTCACTCATTGGGCGTGGGGAGGGGAGTGGTTTTAATTCAGCTCAGGGTGAACATAGCATGTACAAGAAGGTTCATCAGGCATTAACTATTAGGATAAAACTCATTTGATCCTTGAGATAGGACAGCAGGCATGAAGGGATATCCTTGTGGCTGTCACCTCACGTGATATATGCTACTAAGATTTGAGCTGCCATAAAATTATCCAGGCAGCATTTCCCTGGGTTACATGATCAGTAAGATAGATTAACAATAGAGATTAGCTTCAAATTTTTTGGTCCAATTCTAAGCAAATAATAGCGCATTAGTAGACATACTATTTTATTTGCATTTCAAAATAAAGCAATGGTTCGAGTTATTGTGAAACCAGTGATTATGTGGCTGAGTCAGATATATATCAAATATCACCTCCTTTCCCTGTGAAATCAAGCATCATTGAAGTGTTATTTATTTCGACAGAGATGTCTCCTCTGTGGAACTACTGATGAAGTACCACCAGGGAATCAGAGCAGAGATTGATGCCAGGAACAGAAATTTCACTTTCTGCATTGACTTGGGCAAAACCATGTTAGCCCGCAATCATCATGCTTCTGAGGAGGTGAGACAGGGCAGGATACTGCCATCATTTGTAAATATTATTGTGGCACAGTGTTGCAGCTTCTAGCATGGAGTTTATTGAAGCTGAATGAAATAGTTTCCATGTAGCTTTTACATTGTGTCACTCAGTTGGAATTCTCAACATTAGTATTTATTTATATTATCTCGTGAAGGATTTATGCTCAAGTAGATATTGTTGCAGCCAAATAGAAAAATTAAATTGCACGTAGAGTGGATAACATGGTTTGTTTAAAGTTACCACTTTGGGGTGAATTTTCCTAATTTGCTTCTCATCCATCAAAAAATCAAGAAGTAACATTCCTGGGAAGCCTATGATTTAGTGATGTGCAGTGTTGCTTACACTCCTGGAGCACACTGAGAAAACTGAAATTACAGTCTGCTACATAACATAGCATAGCAACAGGATGACATAGATTGGGACTTGGATGTGGAAGGGCACGTGATATTTAGGAAGGACAGGGAAGCTAGGAAAGTTGGAGAGGTGGTTTTGGTAATCAATTATGCTATTAGTACAATAGAGGGGATGACCTAGATTCAGGAACCTAAGAACTAGAAATGGTTTGGCTGGAGATGAGAAATGATAGTATATTGATTTCTTAACAGTAACCTTGTGGAAGGATGGAGCATAAAGGAAGAAATGATGGGAGTTTGTTAGAAAAATACAGTGATAATCTTGGAGGGTTTTAATCAGCATATAAATGCAAAAAATCAACTGGGCAAAGGTAGCATTGATGATGAGTTCATAGAGCTTTCTCAGGACAGTTCCTTAGAACAGCATATCTGGGGTGGCTGGACAGTTCTGTACCCCTAAACTGAATCCATTTTTTGTTGATTCGTTCATGGGATGTGTATGTTTCTGGCTAGGATAGGATTTATTGTCTATCCTAATTGCCCCTGAGAAGGTGGTGATGAGCTATCTTCTTGAACCATTGCATTCTGTAGGGGGTAGGTAGAATCCTATTTTGGAAGGATCTTCAAATGAGGCTTGGTGGGTGGATCTTGGAAATAAGAAAAGGGGCAGTCACACTTTTAGAAGTGTACTATCAATCCCAAGCAGTCAGTGGGTAATGGATGAGCAGATTGGTAGACCATGCACGAAGGTGTGTAAAAATAATAATAGTGCAATGATATTAAGGGATTTCAACTTCACCAACAATAATTGGTTGGCAATAGTGTAAAGAGTTTAGAGGGAAAGATTTCTTGAAGTGAATTCAGGAGAGATTTTTATATTAACATATGGAAGGTCCAACAAGGGACAGTGCAGTGGTGGATCTCATTCAGCAGGTATTTGAGGTACCAGTGGGAGTGCAGTTTAGTCATAGCAACCACAGTCCCATACATGTCAAGTTTGTTATGCAGCAGGAATAAATATGGACCGCAGAGAAGGGTTTTTGGATTAAGGAATGCAGAATCTGACCCAGGTAGACTGGGAACAGCTACCCATGGGTAAAGCTACAGCAGAACAGAGGGTTGGCATTCCAAATGGAATTGGCGAGAGTACAGGCCCAACATGTTCCCTTTAGATTGAAAAGAAGGAACAACAAGCCAAGAGAACTCTGGATGTTTAGGAAAATTCAGGACAGGATAAGAAGAGAATCATAAAGGCTTTTAGCACGTGCAAAGGGAACGAATCAATGGGGAGGCCCTAGTGGAGTGTAGAAAATGCAGGGTGCACTCAAAAAGCAGTTAGGAGAGCAAAGGTTGGGTAAGAGTCAGGCAGAAGATATAAAAGTTTGAACAGATTCAAGAACAGCTTCTTCCCCGCTGTTCTCAGACTTTTGAACAGACCTCTTAAATGTTAATTCTGATGTCTGACTCTGCACCCTCTCTGTCGCTGCAACACTGTATTCTGCACTCTGTTCTGCGACCTTGATGCACTTTGTACGGTATGATCTGGTCGTGTAGCACGCAAAACAACACTTTTCACCTGCCTCGGTACATGTGACAACAATAAATCAATCAATCAAGGGGAGAAGGACAACCAGAGAGAGTAGGGCCTGGAGGGGATGAGGAGGCACTCTCTGCATGGAGCTGCAGGACATTGGTAAGGTATTAATCAAAGGCTTCGTACCGGCCTTTAATTGGGAGGAGGAGGATGTAGGTACGGAATCGGAAGAGGGGCTGTGAGATTCTTGAGCATTGTTTGACAAAGGGACTGAGAAGGCACTGGAGGTTTTGGCAGGCTTAAAATTGGGTAAATCCCCAGATCCGGGTAAGTTGTGACCCAGGCTGCTGTAGGTGACAGGGAGGAAATTACAGGGGCTCCGGAGTCAAATGTTTTAATTCCTCTCTGATCACCGGGGATTACTAGACTGGGCCAAGGGCTAGAAAGTCACACTAGTGTAGATTCAGAATAGTTTTTATTTGTGCAGACTTGATGGGGTGAAGGGGCTCTTCAGTGCTACTAACCTTGATTAACTTTTGATTGCTTTGCATAGCAAGAGACTACTTCAGTCATGCAGCCTCCACCACTCCTGAGGCAGAGAATTCCAAAGTTGCCCAACTGTCTGAGAGGAAAAAAAACTTGTCTCTGTCCTGAAAGGGCCATCTCTTATATTAAAATAAGGTCCCCCCTTACTTCTGGACTGATGCACAAAAGGAAACATTCTTTCCATGTTCTCTTTATCAAGATGACTCAACATGTAATACGCTTTAATCAGAACACTGTTTTAAGCTCTAGTGGAAACAAGTACAGTTGTATAGCCTATCCTCATTAGATAGCCAATTAAGTCCAGGTATCATAGAATCCCCACAGTGAGGAAACAGGCCATTTGGCCCAACAAGTCCCCACCGACCCTCTAAAAAGCATCCCACTCAGACCCATGCCCCTACCCTATCCCTGTAACCCTGCATTTCCCATGGCTAAACTACCTAACCTACATATCCCTTGACACTATGAGCAATTTAGCATGGCCTTCCACCTAACTTGGACCTAATTTTTGGACTGTGGGAGGAAACCCACGCAGACATGGACAGAACATGCAAACTCCACACAGACTTGAGGTTGGAATCAAACCTGGGTCCCTGGTGCTGTGAGGTAGCTACTCTAACCACTGAGGCCGTGCCGCCCCAATACATATCATTCTCGTAAATCTCTGAACCACTGTTTGTTTAAAAAGAATTATGACATTACTTTTCTGTGTATGTTGTAGAAACAGATAGGCAGAGGTGTGCTTTTCAATTGAAATAGTCACTGAACCATTCTCTCTTCATCTAAGCAGCTTAATACATTGTTGTTTACACTCCTGCATTCATTTATTGTTTTCCTATTATAAATTCCATAATAATAAAAAATTATCATGTAAAATAAAATACACCATTGATATCCACGATCTTTACCTCCTTAGATTAAAGAAAAACTGGTACAACTCACAGAGAAGAGAAAATCAATGATGGATAAATGGGAGGAGCGCTGGTACTGGTTACGTCTTTGTAAGTGAAATACTATCCATATATTTGTCTTTTTGAGACACTTCAGTGCACCACCAAAAGAGTGTTGCTCTGTCAGAAGTGCTGTCTTTCAATTAAGCTGTACAACCAAGGCTTTGTCTGCCCTATTGGGTGAACCTAACAGTGCTATTTTGAAAAATTGTACGAGTTATCTGTACCGTGCTCAATATTTATCCCTCAACCAATATCACAAAAGCATTATCTGATGATGAGCTCATTGCTCTCTGTGGGAATGTGCTGTGCTGTTTCCTTACATTACCTCAGTCACTTGTACTGAAGGAAGCTGATAAAGCATTGTTGATTGAACTTCATATTTGTATGGGTTTCACTGATTTCCTCTACACTTAAAGCTGATACTGTAATATGCAGACCATGAGTGGTTTTATCAGTTCCTGTAGGCTGTTGCAGACAAGAAACATTCTTGCCCTAGTTCAAGGCCATGGGAATTGGATCAATCCACAGTCTCGGTGAACTTTGATACATCCCATTAGAGGAGCTCTGCCCTACGTGACATGTTGCTGGGATATCTGAGTCACACTTGTGTCATGCTGTGCAAACTGTAGTATATGTCAACCAGATGTGATACAGTACCAAAGAGATTGTATAAGCAGGAAGGGGACAGCATGCTGAAGTAGATGAAAGAGGAGGAAATGAATAAGACAACTAGGGCCAGGCCTCCTGAAGCACAAGGTCCCATTTGGCTGCATTAATAGCAACGCCGTAAAGTCAACACTAATTTCTCAACAATAGTCGACATACTGTTGCAAACTGCTGGGGTAGCATACCATAAATCGACTCCCATTATTCATGAAGTCATTACCAATTTTAAAGTTTTTTTCTAAGGTGCACGCAAAACCCTAATTTAAAGCAAAGAACAATGGATGCTGAAGATCTGAAACAAAGAGAAATTCAGCAGAAAAAAAAACCTACAGATGTGGAAATAAGAAGCAAAAACAGCAAAAAACACAGCAGATCTGGCAGCATCTGTGGAGAGAAAGCAGAGTTCATGTTTCAGGTCCAGTGGCCTTTCCTCAGTGACATTAACTCTCTTTCCACAGTTGCTGCCAGACTGGCTGAGAAACTCAGCAGCTCTGACAATGTCTGCAGGGGGGAAAAAAACTAAGTTGAAGTTTCGACACCAGTGACCATTTGTCAGAAGGCAATTTGCCTGACTTACTGACCAAGGTTGATAGAAAACATGGCCCCAGTTTCTGTATTAAACAAGAATTATTATTTGTTATAAGCAATTAGACAATAGGTACAATTAAGTAGGTATAAACCATTTGCATGTAATGCCACTAACTAAATATCCTTTGTAAATTCCTCCTTTATGCGCGCACACACACACACACGCACACACGCACACAAGTCGGGAAAATAGATTATTGGCGGAGGTAGAAAGCACTGGAAATATAGCTAAGTGGTCTTTCCTTCCCAGTTTTGATGTTGAGATAATTCTTCTTCAGCCAATCAGACCCTTGATGTTCAGTTGTCCTGCTCTGGAAACTTTTACTGATTTGTAACAAGCACAGAGTAACTGATTCTCTTGGAAAATGTCTCCGATTTATCACCTCAAAAGGCACAGCTCATAGCAACTGCTGCTGCAAAAGTAACTGGTTTTCTTCAAGTTTAACCAGAGTTTTTTTTATTGCAGAGAACAGACAGCTCTGCTGAGGACAACAAAAACACACTTATCTGTGTCTTTCTCTCTCTATGTCTGTGTCTCTGGAACTTGTTACCAGTTCCAACCTGCTCAGTTGGCTGGGAGCCAACCAGCTTCACTTGGAAACAACTCATTGGCTCCTGATCATCTGCACATTGCAGGAACCCATAGCTACAAAAAACAGAGTTCACAATAGGTATCAAATGCCTTGCTATGAAATCATGCAACCATCCTTGTAAATCCTTGTCTATTTCCTTCTCCTTGCTGTTCACAGTTTCTAAAGAGAGAAAAATTTAAAAAACACAGTCCTTACTCTATAAGGCAGCAAACATCATGGTCACAGACATAATAACTTTGTCTCTAAACCTGCTTTTGATGTAGGGTGGAGGCGACACGGTTTCATTTATATCAGCGAATTATTTTGAAAAATTATTCTAAAATAAATCTTCCATAATTGAAGTGAAGCAAGTAACTGTTTCTAAAGTGGATTTAATTTTCAGTTGTTCGGCTTTGTCACTGAAATTTTCACCAGAAGCACCATAGATCTGAATGAAATTCCTTAAGGCTGTTAAAGTCATTCTGGAAATTGCTATGCTGCATTAGCAAAGTGCAGATGCCTAAATCTCTCCAAACCCTTAAACATTACAAAATCAAAATAGTCTTTTTTCCCCCCAAATGATAACTGATTAAAAACTTTGCGTTGTTATGCTTTTTCTGCTTTTCCAGTACTGGAAGTGTGCCAGTTTGCGAGGGATGCTTCAGTTGCTGAAGCGTGGCTGATTACGCAAGAATCTTACCTTAACAGCCGTGATATGGGTAACAGTGTGGATGAGGTTGAAAAACTGATCAAGAAACATGACGCATTTGAAAAATCAACAGCCACTTGGGATGAGAGGTTTTCTGCACTGGAGAGACTCACCACTGTAAGTGAAAACCACGAGAAACATCCAAGAAACACGTATTTATCTTGGTCAAGCTAAAGTTTCATTAGTACTGAACTGAATGCAGTTCATTCAAAGCTCTTAAGGCCTCCTCCCCACCTCCTCGACGTGACACAACCTGTCCATCTTCTTTCCCACCTATCCGCCCCACCCTTCCCACTGACTGATCCCCACTACCCCCTACCTGCATCTACCTGCACTGTCCCATCCCTCCTCCCTCTATTTATTTCCCAGCTCCCTTTCCCCTCCCCAGTCCTGATGAAGGATCCCAACCCAAAATGTTGACTTTCCTGCTCCTCTGATGCTGCCTGAACTGCTGTGTTCCTATATTAAATGCAGTGTATTGACTATAGTCTGTAATTGATTGTCACTGTCTAAACAATCATGTAATACCATTCATTTAGTATAAACAAATGTATATTGTAATTTTTCTCTGTTGCCTTAATCTGACAGCTAATTCCTGACATACATTTGGATATTTCTTTCTTAATCTTCAGTTTTATTAGCTTCTAGTGTAGATTATGGTTCATTTAAGTTGCATTGTGATTTATGAGTCAGAAGGTTGTGTGTTCATTTCCATTTTAGGCTGCCTGTCCAGTGCAGCACTAAGGGAGTGCTAAACTGTCAGAAGTGCTGTCTTTCAGCTGAGACATTAACCCGGTGTCCCATCTGCCCCCTCAGTTGAATGTAAAAGATCCCGTGGCACTATTTCAAACAAGAGTATGGGACTTATCCCGGAGTCTTGACCAATATCTATCCCTCAATCGGCATCGCAGAAGCTGATTATCATCTTGGTGTGTGTGGGAGTTTCTGTGGCGACATTGGTCACAGTGTTTTTTACCTTACAAAAATGACTACAATTCAGAAATGTCCTTCAATGACAGTAATGTGCTTGGAAGTGCCCAGTGATAATGACAGGCTCTGTAGAAATGTGAAGCTGACTGTCAATTTATCTGCCAAGTTATTCAATGTGATGTATACCTACATTATTGTTATATTGCAGTTGGAGTTATTGGAAATTCGAAAGAAACAAGAGGCTCTCAGGCAAAGCATGGAGGCACAACAGCCAGAGTCAGAACTGGATCATGATCGAACACTACCTGGTACTGACCGACAACCAGCTGATCAAACACATTTGGAAAAGTGAGTATTAATGTGATGTTTCTCCTGGCATTCAGTGGGTAAATAACATTGGAGGAGGCAGAGAATATGCCTCCAAGAACCACACAGTTTTTTAGTTTGAAACAGTTTGCCTCTGTAGAAGCTGATGTCAGGTTAGTACAGAGAAATACTAAAATATGAACAATAGTTGCAGTCAATCTTCCTAAAATCTGAGGCCGTACCTCGTTATCCAGGCCTCAAGCTCTAGAATTGCCTTCTGACATCTCTATTCGTATGTATCACAAAGTCAGAAGTCACACGACACCAGGTTATCGTCCAACGGGTTTATTTGAAATCACAAGCTTTAGGAACCCTGCTCCTTTATCAGTTGAAGCAAAGGAGCTGCACTCCAAAACCTTGCGATTTCAAATAAATCTGTTGGACTATAACCTGGTGCCATGTGACTTCTGACTTTGTACTCCCCAGTCTAACACTGGCACTTCCACATCATGGCTACCACCTGTATCACACTTTCCTCCTTGAAGATACTTCTTAAAATGTACTTCTTTGGTCATCTAACTTCATACCTTCTAACATGACTCAGTGTCATGTTTCATTTGTAATATTACTGTGAAGGGCCTTGAGTTGTTACATTTTAAATAAACACTGAAAGAACTGTGGATGCTGTAAATCAGGAACAAAATCAGAAGTTGCTGGAAAAGCTCAGCAGGTCTTTTTCGGTTTTTATTTAGTATTTTTCCTCACTGCCACATCTCTTCTCGGCATGCCCACCTTGAAGAAGTTCTGCTCCTCTCTCCAACTTCTTCACAGGTGTTACATTTTGTTGTTTTTATGGGAAGATATTTACCAAGACTTTTACATTGTTTAAAAGTCTAGGAGTCATAGAATCATTGGGTTGTGCAGCATGGAATCAGACCCTTCAGTTCAACTTGTTCATGCCAACCAGATATCCTGTATTAAGCTAGTCTCATTTGCCAGCATTTGGCCCATATTCCTCTAGACTCTCCCTATTCATATACCCATTCAGATGCCTTTTAAATGTTGTTATTTTACCAGCCTCCACCACTTACTCCAGCAGTTCATTCCATACATGCACCACCCTCTCTGTGAAAAAGTTGCCCCATAGGTCCCTTTTGAATCTTTCCCCTCTCACATTAAACCTGTGCCCTCTAGTTTTGGACTGTCCAATTTGGGGAAAAGACCTTGGCTGTTCACCCCATGCCCCTCATGATTTTATAAACCTCTGTAAGGTAACCCCTCAACCTCCAACACTCGAGGGAAAATAGTCTATTCAGCCTCTCCCGATAGCTCAAACCCTCCAACCCTGGCAACACGCTTGTAAATCTTTTCTGAGCTGTTTCAAGTTTCACAGCATCCTTCCTATAGCAGGGAGACCAGAATTGCACACAGTATTCCAAAAGTGGCCTAACCAATGTCCTGTACAGCCACAACAGGACCTCCCAACTCCGATACTCAATGCACTGACCAATAAAGGCAAGCATACACCCTAACAGAGTTCTCGTCACAGCAAGACAAAACGCAAAGCTGCATCTCATTTTTCAGCTTACGTGGCAACAAGATACACTTTTGAATTCTCTTTTAGAATTTTGGTAGGGAAAATTGGGTTTTGCTCACAAAATAGATAAAGATTTTAAAAAAGGCTTTATGCTTCAGAACAAATGTAAGACTTGTTTCTCAACCTTTCTGTCCTCCACCTTGTGTGCCTTATACCTATTACAGCACCCGCCTCTGTCTTAAATTATTCCATAGTTGTTGCCTTCACTACTCAATGTGCCATGTGTTGCTCACTCTGAAATCATTGCACGTAAATCATCAAAATACAATGGTTGTGTTTGGATATGTTTTCACAACTAAATATTGTCTAAAGTAATGTTGATTTATTTTCAGAGAAAAGATAAAGCACGTTTAAAAACTGTTACTTGCCAATACCAGTGAACAATGAAACACCTACTTTAAATAACCACTGCTATTCAGCCATTGTTGTTGAGTACATTAACACAGATGGAATGAAGAAAATCTTTTGGCTGAACCTCAGAAGCATCCTCTTTCTACCACGGTGACACCTCCGTATAATAAACCAGCCACCTTCAAATTAATTCTCTGGGTCAGATTGTCTATTTGATTTAGTTAGGTTTGATTTATAGGACACTCTTTTCATTTGGTCCAATTGGAATTGGATTGAGACCACTCAAACTCAGTTGATTCTAGACTAGATTTAAAAAAAAAAATCCTACTTGTGAATATATGCACAAATACTTCATGTTTTCAGACGATGCTACCGTGAACACTTCACTGGAATCTAATCTAAATGGTTGAACCATTGTTACACCCACTGTGCATTCCATTATGTATTCTGCCGGAGGTTGCAGGGCCAGTGGGCCAGCAGCAAACTAATGTGGCAGACATAGAAGCCAACACTATTAAGGGCACATCTCTGATGCCAGCTTCTACCGTGCTCTCAGTAACTTGTTGCTTTGTCCAGCCTTATTATTGGTCTGACTCCCTGTATGATAAACTCACTCAGCAGATCATGGCACATAAAGACTTTTCAGTAATGCTATCATGCACCATTAGCTTCTGCTTGACCTTTTACATTTCTGGTTAATCTCTGGTCATATTAATACCAGCTTTCTGACTTGTAAAATTTTAAATTGTGATGTTTCCTTTAATTTCATTCTGGGGATCACCAGCTCTTTCTTACCTAGAGATAACAAAG